TTGACTGTATATGGATTCTGACATACAGTAGAAGCTCCATTCATTACATTGAAAACTGGCCTAAGATCATGGATAAGACCAGTCAGAATATCATATCTAAACTTTTTGAGCTTGAACAGCATAAATCAATATATCTCGAGTGGATATTGTTCCATGTTGGGGTGAATGAAATAGCTTACGATCTTGCAAGGAATGGTTGTGATCTTCCTACCTCCACTTGCACTGATTTAAGGCCCACCTGAAATACATTCCCAATACAAAAATAAAATGAACATGGCGTGGAACATTTCTCCTGGGGGAAGGGGGAAATACCTTCCCTCCTTGCCTCTCCCGCTCACCTACTAAACTGTTTTGGCATTTCCCTGAGACAGCTATCGGCTGAGCAGGATGATGTCAGCGATTCACTTGTGCAGCAAGGTCTTCTGAACCTGGTGTAGGCTTTTCTGTGTCAAGGGGATTAGTAAAACAGTTCTACAAATATGCCTAAATAGTATAATATTAGAAGGAATTCATATAAAAAAAAAAGGTGCACCCTTTGTTTAATCCCTTTAGCGGCTTTCTTGCTTGGTGAAAAAAACATCACCAAGGCCCATCATGCTGAACTTTGTCTGCTAAAATGTAAGATAAAAGATAACATTCAAAACTGAGAACAGAATGAGAGAAGGAGAACATGAAAAATTTACCCATAGATATCAGCATTTCAGAGAGTTATTGGAAGTCCGCTTATTATAAGCCGTTAGCTAAGTGGAATGAGGAATATATTTCATCTTGTAATGCTCAGGACAAAAATTTTTTCCCCCTTTTACTTAGCATAGACTGCATTTTAAGTCTTTCCTCTTTATTAAAGTATCTCAGTTTTTATCTGGTAATGGCAAATCTGTAAGTTACCTGTTTCATTTCAATCTACGATCATATAATTTATGTAAGTGTTCACAAAAGTACAAGATGTGATACATTTAATCTTTTCCTGCCCTACTTTTGATATCCTAGATTATGCTTGAAGAACAATTTGAAAAAGTTTGCCGCAACTTGACCAGTTAACTTATCAGTTTTTGTGTGAAATCTGGGGTGCTGTTCATTGTTTTTGTTAAATTTATTTATCCATGTAATATTTAATACTTTAGTTAATTTACTTTTGTGGCGCACGAGAAGATTGTATGTATGTGTTCAAAAAATATAAGTGTTTACACTTATAAGAGTTTTTATCATTAGGCACATTATATTGCGCATGGTCATGGTATTAAAGTAATGTATATGCTAGTATAAATAAAAAGGAAACTAAATTTATATAATTCAATGATAACACTTCCGAGGGGGGAGGATAAAACAAGTTCCAAAATTATGTTAATTAATTTCAACATTCTAAAAAAAACTGTATTATATTATAAGCAGATTCAAGAAAACATAATGATGCCTTAAAGAGCTAAGCATCAACCATTCTTAAATAATAAAACATTTTTTAAACAGGTATAAAAATTTTGTTGTAATGTTTTTAATTAACATATATGCTACTAACAAAACCTTCAAAATATCAAAAATTATGGTAAAATCCTAGGAGAGCCCACACCCTTGGCGATAAACTAGGAAAGTGCGCACTGCTTCGCACGTTTCTCAAAATCGGCAACTTGAAAATAACAAGTTTAAGAATTGCACAAACTCGGTATCCATGTACACATCAACCTATTTTCACTTAAAAAAACATCAGAGAATCACACACTCCCTTGACTTTATCCATGTACACATCGATACGCGCCATAACCCAAATCGGGTAAAGTGCAGAATCGCCCACTTATTTGTTTGTCGCTTTTTACAAGAGTACGAAGAATTGGATTTTTTGTCAATTTCCATTGACTTTTTAAGTGAAAATAGGTCAATGTATACATGGATAAAGTTGAGTGAGTGCGCACTGCCATTTTTGTGCAATTTTGGGATATTTTTTAAGTGAAAATAGGCCGATGTGTGCATGGATACTGAGTATGTGCAATTCTTAAAAATGCACCAAGCAGTGGCTGATTCTGCACTGTTCCTCCCAAAATCATTCACACCAAGGGTGTGGGCTCTGCTAGGATCCCAGCAAAATTACATAATATTGTTTCACATAAGATTTATAATTAATTTAAAAAGCAATTTTAAAATAAAGTATTATCATTTAACTCTGAAACAAAAGTGAATTCCTCCAGAAAATAAAATTCAGTATCATTTTTATTAAAACAAAAACATTCATTTGAATATTATATCTTAACTTTTAACGAGATTAGCTAAAATCTTCACAAAACAAAATAACTTACCATATACTAACCCTTAACTTACTACCATCAGCTACTCATAAAATGCATTCAATAAAAACTAATAAAATAAATAAAGTACTGCACAACCTTACTGAATTTAGAATAATATAAAAATTAAAAACTGTACAATCTGACAGAATCAAAAGAAACTATGTTTAGTGGAATACTTGACTGATGGATGATGATTTTCATTTCACAAACCCAAAAACTTCAGAATGATATGGAGTCGTGAAAACTTGAAATGCTGGTATGAAAAAGTGAGCAACAGAAAAGAGTTTTCCCTAAGAAAAAGTTACTAAAAAAAAAAAAAAAAAAAAAAAAAAAAAAATTATATACCTATTCTTTATCTATACCTAAAAATTTTCCCTTCAAATATAAATTTATATTTTCAATCTTTAAAAGCACATGAATATTCATAACATTGTCTCCTTGAATTCTTTTGTAAAAGTTTCAAAGAAATGGATGTTATTTCCATATTTTGTTATCATGTCTGTTTTATGACTGCATGCGATTAAAATTTGATAAAATTCTTAATTTACTACATTGAAAACAGATATAAACTAAAAAAAAAAAAAAAACTCAGTGGTGCAAAGAGCCCTAATGGGTCAAGGCTTGCAGTGCCCCGAAATCTGCTTTCTTGACCGTGGGCCCCGAGCTGCACAAGCATAGGCCCTGAACAAATGGTCAGCTTGTCGCAGGACCCCCAGTGTTTAGTCCCCAAGCAAACTTGGTACTCATTTTATCGACCCAAGAGATGGAAATCGAGGAATGAAAGGCTGAATCGACCTTACCCAGCCCTGGCTTCGAACCCCGGACCTGTGGTGCTGCTGCGTCACCAGGCCTCTTGAAAACAGATATATACGCTAGAATATTTATTCAAATCAATTTCAGCAAATTTTGATACAATAAGCCATTATTCACAGTAAGAAAGAATTTAAAAGAAATTAACATTATAAGAGATTATCAATTTTAGCAAATTTTGATACAATAAGCCATTATTCACAGTAAGAAAGAATTTAAAAGAAATTAACATTATAAGAGATTATCAAGTGTTCCCACATCTCAATAGACATTTAGTTACATAGGATATTTTCTAATTTAAAAATAATTCAAGCAGCAATCTAAATTGCTAGGAAACAAAAACAACAACAAAAAAAAAAAAAAAAAAAAAAAACTACTTCAGATAAAAATTTGGGTAAAGTGCAGAATCGCCCGTTTTTTTGGTGCATTATGTTTGGCACTTTTTACAAGAGTAAGAAGAATTGAATTTTTGTAAATTTCATTTGACTTTTTAAGTGAAAATACATCGATGTGTACATGGACAAAGTCCAGGGAGTACACAATTCTCTGATTTTTTTTAAGTGAAACTAGGTCGATGTGTACATGGATACTGAGTTTGTGCAATTCTTAAAATCGTGCCAAGCAGTGGGCGATTCTGAACTTTCCCCAAAATTTTAAATACTGGTTAAGCTTCGTTTTGTCTGAAAGCTACTTCAGCATTTCTGGTTAGGGATAGGAGACTCAATTTTAAAAACAGAACTTAGTCTATAATAGCATAATTAGGCAATGAGTTTGTCAGTCATCTCCTGAAATGGTAATCTCATGTTTATTGATGATGTAATGAGCCAATTCACTGCCAAGATTTAAATTCTATCTATACAATTTGGCAGAAACTGTCATGAAAACAAATTGTTTCAGACATCAGCAACAACTGTATTAGTAAGACAAGGAGAGGGGAGAAAAATTACATTACAAATAATAAAAAAATCTAGTGAAATCCTTGAATCATTTTTAAAAAATAGTAACATGACAAAGTATTGGGAAAATTTTGAAAAAAACAGTTTCTATTTTTATCTGACATGATAATACAGGTTTGACTTTTCCACTCAAAATAGATTGTATACTAATTTTTGAACCCAATGTATTATTCCTGGAGAAAAATATTAATTATAAAACGTCTGCGTGTTTGGTATTGAGCAAATGCATATTTTATTGTTTCATAGAATAGAATAGATCTCAGAATCAATAGATAGAATAGATCATAGAATCATCTCAATAGATAGAATTCTCATAGATTTCAAGAAAATCGCTTCATAGAATAGATTTAATGAAATTAAAATTTTTCATATAATTTTCGGAAACTAAATATAAATTACACAACTTGAATACACTGGAAAAAATTCACACTGATTCAAATAAGAGATAAATTTCATGAATCACGTTAATTCTCGCAACAATTTCCATTTAATATTGAATCTGCGCTGTGTATCTGTATGATAGTTTAACTCCATTCCACCTGTCAACAAAGACCTTTAAAACATATAGGAAATATTTCTGCAGTGAAATATTTTATGAATGAATGGTAGGTTTCAAAATTTCATAATGAATAATGTCTGTCGTTTTTCAAATAAAGCGCAAATATATTTCTTAACAGCGAAAATGCTATAAGCTCATCACTAAGAATATAAGTGCATCTCTTTAAAGCCTTTCGCACACACACAGCTCTCCTTTTTTATTTTTTACGATAAATTTTTATACTTTTAAAAGTGTATATGCCCAAACCGTACACAAAGCATGAAACAAAATACAATAATACACAATACAGGTTAAATGCAAAACTCGAAATAATTTAAATCCATTCATCATCTTGATGGCACTGGCGTTATGTCGATTACTTAAATGAATTCGCACGGATCACAATTTCACACTGACCTTCAATTGGTGATAAGAGCAAAGCACAAATAGCAATTAATGTCCTTTTCAAGCACTTATACCACAAAAAAATCCCATAGGCATCCGCCATCTTTTTTAACACTTACAAGAGGTCAAACAACTAGGCATTATTAGTGACAACAATGTTTTGAAAAAGCGCCACCTGGAAACAATGATGTATTATTGACTCCTAGGGTATAACCTAGCACTTGTCTTCCAAATCCCACAAAATATTTCAAAACGTTGTGGAGTTTGTGTCTTTCTTGAGTGTTTATTACAAAAAATGTTTCTTCAATAATGCATAAATTCCTTTGAAATTGGTGTGAATGTTTTCTGGAGAGAAGTATATAATTACTTATACCGCTTGTTGATGATGGATATAAACAAACAATAAAAGCGTTCTTGGTTAACGATTTTGCGCTGCTTTTGTGTTTTGATGATAAAGCTGCTACTGACCGTAAATGAGCGTTAACGCCAAGGTTAAACAAAAGGGCTAGCTCATTCCTTTGTGCGACCCCTTGACGACGCACGCCAATAACGACGCTAATAAGTGGGATTGAATGCCAATAACTGAGCGATGGAAGAACAATTAAGCCATTTTATAACTGAATTTGGTGCATTCCAAGAAAAAAAGCAAACTGGTCAAGCATCCTTTAAAGCAGAGATTAAAGCGGGACAAGTATCTCTTAAAGCAGTGATGAAAGCTGGCCAGTAAAGAGTTCAAGAAAAAATGGAAGCTGGTCAAGTAACTTTTAAAGCGGAGATGATTGTTGTTAAGGAATCGGTTAAAGCAGAGATGAAAGCATACAATAATTGATTGAAGCAGGTCAAGAGGAAATTAAAAAACAAATTACCTGCATAATAGAAAACAATTTTGAGGCTATGGAAGGAAGAATAGACACAGTTGAAGAAAAAGTTGGAGAAGTTCAAGAAAGAGTTTCAGCTGTGAAACAACTAATTGAAGAAAGTGTTTCTACCGTCCAAGAACAAATCTAACAACGCATAGAAGACAGGATTTCTGCTGACGTCGCCAAAGAAGAAGTTGTCATATTAAAGAAATGCATAGCGACAGCAGGAAGCAATGTTGATTGTAAGAACGATTGTAAATTATTTAATTGTTATTAGACAAAATATCTATTGAGAAAATGGCAACAGTTAATTTCTGGATGTCGTTCTATTTATAATAAAAAAAAATATATACTTTCAGATGATGTACGCTTCAAATGTTTAACGGTACGATGCAGTAAGTACGTTTGTTATGTTATGTACGTTTACGAATACATTACGTATAGGTTATTAAGATTTATCTTCAAATAAATGTTTGTCTTTTACAACCATTTTACGAGTGATTAATTTAACTACAAAAGGAAGTTAACATAAATCAGAAGTGGGATTATTCTGAAACCTAAGCCTAAAGCTACAAGAATTTGCTATTACGTAAATAAATTGAAGAGAATTTGAATTTCAAGGTATGTGCATTAATTGATGTAACATAATCATAATAGAATTTAATTTTTTTATTTTTTTATCATTTTGGAAAGAGAGTTTATTTTATTTTTCATTTCTTTAAATTTTGAAATATATTTAGAACGTCAAACAAACTTATAAAATGCCAATAACTGTGTTCTACTAAGTTGTCTAATTGGAAGTTAATAATAATAGCATATATATATAATTTGCATTTTAATGAGTACGAAAATGTCTATTTTCGGTAAGGCAAAGAAAATGCGATTTAAGAATATTAGCTGAAGAATTGGGAGAAGATGTAAATGAGAGTCATAAAATGAGCGATTTGAAAAAGATAATTTTGGCTAGCAAAGAGTACGATGAAGAATGCGCCAAAGAATGGTTAAAACATTATATAAATGAAAGAAAGAAAAAAGAGAAAATTGAGAACGAAACGTCAAGAAGAATTGAAGAACGTAGACGAAAAGAAGAATATGAGGAACGAAAACGAAAGTATGAAATGGAATTTGAACTGCAAAAACTACGTACTGAAGCAGAAAGTAGATCTACAAATTCTGGCACCAATGAAAATGCTAGTGGTACGCACATGAATCCAAAGTTAGAGCTTCATCGTTTGATGCAAAAATTTAAACCTGACGAGAATGATATCAGTTTATATTTAATCATGTTTGAACGTTTGTCTAAACAAGTTGAAATACCAGAAAATACATGGGTTACTCATTTGTCTGGCTTATAGCCGAATGATATTGCTCAGTTAATCGTCAGAGAAACCGATGAGATTGCAAACAATTATAAAGAAGTTAAAAAAGGATCTTATTAAAACGGTACAAGATGCCACCTGAAAAATTTCGCCAAAACTGCTTTACGCACAATAAGAGTGTAGGAAACACATGGAAGAATTTTGCGTATGATTTAAGAAATTTTTTTAATGAATGGATAAGCGGAATTAAAGTAGATATTTTTGAGAAACTTAGCGACCTTATTGTAGCGGATCAGATAAAACGTAAAGTGTCTCCAGAAGTAAAAGAACATTTTATTGACATATTGACCTCCATAGGAATGATTAAAGCCGATATTGAAGTTGATAATGTAAAAGTCCAAAGCATAAATAAATACATTGTACCTGATAATGCACAGCCAGTTGATCTAATCATCGGACGGACATGGCTTGATCTACCTCACATCGCTTATGTCAGAATAGGAAAACGATTTCACTTCGGGTATAGGGAAAATGAACTATTTAGTAACCTCCAAATTGATGAAAAAATAAATCGAGTCTGCCTTAAAGCTCTCGAGGAAAATGAATTAGAGAAAAGTAGTCCTTATGTTGCAAATAGAAATCGACACTGTGGTCAACTGTTCTCTAAACATCACTTCATGCTAAGGCAAAGACAGAATGACGAAAGTGATTCTGTCTTTAGTCAGAGCCAAGAGAATGTAGATGATAAGCAGCAACTACAACCTCAAAGGCCCGTACGAAGGCAATTACATCATCCTTACTTCAGGCAATATTGTGGTTATCTATCGATAGGAACTTCCACGAAACGTTGGACGTGATGGAAGTGAAGATGAACAAAATGAAACTAAAAAACGAAGAAAGAGTTTTAGGAGGTGGAAGAGACGATCACTGGAATCCTAGACGATTTTATCAAAGGTGCTTTAATAGCAAAACCCACTATCATAGGAATGACACTGAATGCAGTCAAAATAGAATGGAAGGAGAAGCAACTAGTAAAGATACTGAAGCAAATGACGAAGAACAGCAGCCACGCGGTCAAGGATCTAGATCTTGGCCACTTTACAGATCAAAAATGGGTTGTTGAAAGCCCCACCAAGCTGATTCACGTCCTAAAACCAGATCTTCGGAGGCCATCATTTCCAGAAATACAGACGATGACGATAATGACGGAGACGATGATGAACTTAAAGGCCCAAGCGAACAGTGCGCAAACCATTGCGCTATAGAGACTTCGTATAGGACTTATAGAATTTTTTTTGAAATTATATTTCATTTTTTTCCTACCTATTATTATATTTTTGTTGTTGTTTATTTGTCATTTTAATGAATGATAAGATTTGGTTCAATTGAGGACAATTGAAAAGTCAGGATGGTCGAATGTAAGAACGATTGTAAATTATTTAATTGTTATTAGACAAAATATCTATTGAGAAAATGGCAACAGCTAATTTCTGGATGTCGTTCTGTTTATAATAAAAAAATATACTTTCAGATAATGTACGCTTCAAATGTTTAACGGTACGATGCAGTAAGTTTGTTATGTTATGTATGTTTACGAATACGTTACGTATAGGTTATTAAGATTTATCTTCAAATAAATGTTTGTCTTTTACAACCATTTTACGAGTGATTAATTTAACTACAAAAGGAAGTTAACATGATGGATTTAAATTTTTACCAGTACCACCTCCTCTCACTTTGAAGCTATTACCTTATGATGGTAAGACCTCCTGGCAAGTATATAAGACACAATTTTCTATAATGGCGAATGCGAATGGAGGGGATCCCCAAGCTAAGGCCTATTATCTCGCTGCTTCGTGAGAGCAGACGCATCAGATAATTTTCAAACTCTTCCTGAAAACAAAAGGTTGGATTTTGAAGCTCTGTCCGGCTCGTTGGAACTGCGCTTTGGGAAGAAGTGTTCAAAAGACTCCCATTAAAATCTCGTGAACAGAAAAGCCAACGGAAAAAATCCAGGAGCTTGCCACGGATGTTGAAAGGCTGTCCCACCTCGCCTTTTCGAAGTCAGTCCCGACAGAAACAAGGAAATCCTGTCCCTGCAATACTTTATCGACGGTAGCCTGGATCCTGAAATACAGAAAGCTCTACGAATAGCGAACGTGAAAGATTTGAAAAGCCCTCTAGTGTACGCCATGATTGCAGAGACTGCCAACCAGTCAGAGCTGTGCAAGTCTACGAGGCAGTGGATCAAGTGATGGCTCGTTTAGATGATTTATTCAGACAAGTCACTGCTTTGATATGGTGTAGGAATGAAAACAAACTGGCTCTAAAGTGTTGAAAATGTGTTACTGAAGACTACATACGACGGAATTTCAGAACACCTCAGGGCAATTCAGAAAATAAAACAGATGATTTTATCCGACGAGTCAGTGCCTTGAGACGGAATATTTTACCAGGTAAATCAAAGCCTCGAGACGGAATACTGGCGACAAGAAACTGACCATAAAGTACTCGAACTGAGGTACTGAAGGCCACATACGAATTAACTGCAGAAAACCTCAGGGCACGGAAAATAAGAGAGACTATTTAAACAGAAAATTAAATGCCATGAGACGGAAAGGGTGTGACAAGAAGCCAAAGTGTTGGAATTGCGTGGCTGAAGGCCACGTACGAAGGAACTGCAGAACATTTGAGGGCACGGAAAATAAGAACATTTCCCAGCAACGACGCAGGAAACAAATTAATGACCATATCGCGGAGAGGAGTTTGGACGATAGTGGAAAACCCATTTTAAAACGCTCAAGATTTCTGAAGTAACGGCAACAGTAATGGGCTCTTCATAATAGGCATATCGATGAAGTTCCTTGCAATATGATCATTGACACAGTAGCTAATGTTGCCATAATTAGGAAAGATTTAGCTCAAACAATTCAAAGATAAATTCATTTGGACGCCATCCTGTGTTACTCT